CGTGGTGCATCTAAGACACTCTGGGCACCAGAGAGGCTTCCCGGAGGGACCACTCGCAATACGTTCTTTCCAGAACACAGCTCTTGGGCCTGATTTACAAAGTCAAAATGTCCCTTTATTAACAATAAGCAATGGAAGTGGTTCCCTGAATGGAAATGCACACATATTTACATTCACTCTCTGTAGTCAGATCCACAGAGGGAGCCAGATTCTAATGGTAAAGTTGTTTGGCAAGACATCAACACAGTTTTCCCTGTTCAAAGACATTTGGATGATGGGGCCACCATCCCCACACTAGGAGTTAGGCTTGTGAATAGGGCCATTATTTTTGAAGTTCTCTTTTTTGACTAGGATTCTCTCTCCCCCCCAAACATTGCCTAGATGGTTTTATGAGCCAGGCTTTCCTGACTCTCCCTTTTCTAGGTTTCTATTCTTCTTCTTCTCTTTTTTAATGTTTATTTATTTTTGAGAGAGAGAGAGAGAGGGACAGAGCACAAACAGGGGACGGGCAGAGAGAGAGGCAGATACAGAATCCAAAACAGGCTCCAGGCTCTGAGCTGTCAGCACAGAGCCTGACGCGGGGCTTCAACTCACGAACCGAACCGTGAGATCATGACCTAAGCCGAAGCCGGAAGCTTAAAGGACTGAGCCACCCAGGCGCCCCTAGGTTTCTATTCTTCTAATAGACACACTGCTTCTCTAGATTTGTCAATACTTTTGATTATGTTATAGGGTATTGTTGGGGAAGAAAAATTTCCCTCTATCCTTCAACATTGTTCTAGGTAGTCTAAGAATCAAACTGACAAAAGACAGATTAACAGGAGAAAAGAATATTTAATTATGTATGTACATGGAATCCACACAGACATGAGAGGCAAAATGAAGTGTAAAGGTCCTCCAGAACTAAGGAGAAGTGGGTAGGGGTCTGGGACCACAAAGGGAAGGAAAGCAACTTACCCAAAGATGAAAGAGTAAATGTTTGGTAAACGGATGTTTGCTGGGCCACTCAAACAATGGGACACAAAGAGGAATTTGGTCAAACAGGCTTGCTGGGTTCCTTCTTGTCTACCATACCTAGTCCACAGTATAATATAGTTACCTACTGTGCCAGCTCTCTTTCTGGAGCAGGCCCTCTATGTTCTCTTAGGCAGTTAGGGGAAGTTCAGAGTTTCTTCCTGAGTATTTTTGGGCTTTGGTTATTTTTAGCTTGAAATAATCTGCATACTAAAGTGGCACATTTTGGGGCAGTCTGGCCTTGGCCCTTGCAGTATGATGAGGTCTGTAATTTACTGTCGTCAAGAAGTGTGGTCTTAGTAGCCTCTGTGTGTGTGTGTGTGTGTGTGTGTGTGTGTGTGTGTTGCATTAAATTATGGGCTAGCAATGACTCTGCTCAGGACTTTACACACCACAGGTGCTCAGCTGTATCAATCAGAGAGTCCATATGCCATATTATACCTACAGATGCTTCTGTCAGCCACAGCTCAAGCCAACAGCTTTGCTAGGTAGCAAAATGAAGGTTAGAAATTGGTTTTCATTGGTGGAATTAGTAGTTTATTAGCTAGTATAACAGGTGAGAGAGATGGGCTCGAATTGGCGAAATCAATGATATTGAAGACATGTGTATTGTTTAGAATATGTGAGACTGTCCTCAACATTGCAATGACAGGGTATAAGAACCTAACAAGTTGGAAGCCTGTTTCCTTAGGGATAATACTGTAGGCTAAACCTCCAAATGGCCCTGTGTCCAGCTATGAACTCTAAGGGTTCCAGTTCCCTGATAATGTCTATGAGGCCAACAGAATCCCTGTTCTGTAATAGTGGTGAGTCTGTCTTGAGTGCCTTGCATGGTTACCAGAGTACGTGAAACAACAGAGAGCTGGGGCATTACTGGGACATAAAAACTGTTTTGTGCCACAGAATCATGGCTGTTTCATAAACATCTGAATAAATGGGCCCATATTTAAGTTATATAAATAGCCCTTAGGGCACCTGGGGAGAATACCCCCTAACCAAGGAGGAACTTGTGACCTTCACTTTCCTGGCAGGCACAGTTTTGTTTTGTTTTTTTAATGTTTAGTTATTTTTGAGAGAGCGCATGCACGGAGGAAGGGGCAGAGAGAGAGGAGGACAGAGGATATGAAGCAGGCTCTGAGCTGACAGCAGTGAGCCCGATGAGGGGCTTGAGCTCATGAATCATGAGATCATGACCTGAGCTGAAGTTAGATGCTTAACTGAGCCACCTAGGTGCTCCAAGGATTGCACAATTCTTTTAAAAGAATTTTTTTTAATGTTTATTTATTTTTGAGACAGAGAGAGACAGAGCATGAGTGGAGGAGGGGAGAGAGAGAGAGAGAGAGAGAGAGAGAGAGAGAGACAGAATCCGAAGAAGGCTATAGGCTCTGAGCTGTCAGCACAGAGCCCGACGCAGGGCTTGAACTCATGAGCTGTGAGACCATGACCTGAGCTGAAGTCGGACACCCAACCGACTGAGCCACCCAGGTGCCTGAAGGTAGGCACAATTCTTAACAGACGACAATTCCTTGAGCAAATGTGAAAATAATTAATGAAGACAGAATACGGGGTGCCTTTTTAAGACTCAGAAAGAAAAAAATGATGGCCCCTGAAAACCTAAAATATAACCCCAACAATAGATCCCAGCAAAGTGCTTTATAGAGCTTTCGACTAAGGCTTGCCAGTGACCCTTTTGAAGACATTTAAGATAAAAATCGAAACAAAGAAAGGGTATATGAAAAACAATCAGGTTAGTCTGACCCAAGGAATATGAGAATGATCCAAGACCTAAAGGGCCAGGCAGAAGCTATTTGTCTCACCAGCGTTGAAAGCTATGCATCACCTCTGCTATGCTATATTCCTTAGAAGCCACTTTCTAAGCCTGGCCCACACCCAAGAGGAGGGGAATCAGACTCCACCTTTTGAAGAAAGGAGCATCAAAGAACTGTGAACAGATTTAAAAACCACCATTGCCTACATTAAAGACGTTATAGGTCCTCTAAAATTCATATTTCTCTCAGGAGCAGTAATAGCTATGTTTCTCTTGAGCAACCACTTTGTTTTTATGTTACAGTGTTGTGAATCACTCTGTAAATTGTGTTTTCCTCTTTTTTCAGCTGTCAAGAAGCTCAAAATAAAACTTTGGCTCACCTCCAGCTTGTGTACAAGACCTCAAGGCATGTGTTCTATGGATTCAAGTCACCCATGACTTCATCTTCTTTTTCCTTTCCTACTTTCATTCTCATTTCCCTCCCCCCACTTTTATACTTACGAATGAATGAATCACATGATATAGATCTATACATCTACATACACACATGTGTTGTGGCATATGGTGTATATGTTTACAAGCAACCTAAATCCCTTTTGAAATAAGAACATGTATAAATAAAATAAATACAATATTTTTCATCTTTTAAGACTTGAGGTAAGTTAGTTCTTTTGTTTTCTTTCTTTCTTTTTAATGTTTATTTATTTTTGAAAGAGAGAGAGAGAGAGGGAGGGGCAGAGAGGGGGAGACTGAAGATTCCTAGCAGGCTCTGTGCTGACAGCAGAGAACCTGATGTAGGGCTCGAACTCCTGAACTGTGAGATCATGACCTGAGCCGAGGTCAGACACCTAACTGACTGAGCCACCCAGGAGCCCCTTGTTTTCTTAACAAAGATAATTACTGACTTTCCCCCCATACATATACTCAAACAATACAGAAAACCATGAAGTAAAAATACTTCCAAATCTCACCACCCAGGGAAACACATTATTAACATTTCGGTCAATATCCTTCTAACTATCTGTTTATAAACATACAGGCAATTCTACACAAATGGATTTTTTTATTGAAGTATCACTGACACACAATGTTCTATTAGTTTCAAATGTACAATAGAATGATTTGACAAGTCTATACATTTATGCTATGCTCACCACAAGTCACCATACAGTGCTGTTACAATACCAATGACTATATTCCTATGCTATACCTTTCATTCCTGTGACTTAATTCATTCCATGACTGAAAGCCTGTACCTCTCACTCCCCTTCACTCCTTTTGCCCATCACCCACCCCTCCCAAATGGAATTTTAGAAAATGTTTATTTATTTTGAGAGAGAGAGAGAGAGTGTGTGCACAAGTAGGGGGAAGGGCAGAGAGAGAGGGAGAGAGAGAATCCCAAGTAGGCTCTGCACTGTCAGCACAGAGCCCCACGTGGGGCTGGCCCCCACGAACTGTGAGATCATGACATGAGCTGAAATCACGAGTCAGATGCTTAACCAACTGAGCCACCCAGGCACCCCTGGAATGTTTTTTTTTGTTTTTTAAGTAAGCTTTACAGCCAACATGGGGTTTGAACTCACAATCTGGAGGTCAAGAGTTGCATATTCTACTGACTTAGCCAGCCAGGAGCCCCTGGAATTTTTATTTTATTTTTAAAAAATTATTTTTTTAAGTTTGTTTATTTATTTAGAGAGAGCGCAAGCAGGAGAGAGGCAGAAAGAGGGAGAGAAAGAATCCCAAGCAGAGCTCTATCTCAAGAAATTTGAGGTCACGACCTGAACGGAAATCAAGAGCTGGCACCTTAACTGACTGAGCCACCCAGGCGCTCCTGGAATTTTTTTTTTTTTAAAGCTCACTATGCTATGTATATTTTCTAGGTCATATTTTAAAAATGTTGATCATTCTTAGTAGCTGCATGGTGTTCTATTGTACCATAATTTAACTACTGTGCATTTTAACATTCCATTCCCTGAACAGGTTTGAAAAAGCATTACCCACACATTTATTATGCATCTTGCTGGGAATTTTACCTTTAAGAAGGTGAGGCATGGTGGCTGAGACCATCAGCTTTATATAGAATCTGGGTATGAGTTCATTATCTACTGCTCTAGTTTTGAAATCTCAAAGCTGGACTGAGGTGTTCTGCCCATGAAAGAAAATACAGGTACTTTTCCCCAAATGTACAGAAATAATTAAAATTCATAGATGGAATTTGCACAATATTGAAATTTACTCTCAGGTTTATTACTAAATTTTTAGCGTCTGATACCACTGTTTTGTATTCAACTCTAATAAAAAATGGTAAAGGATTTACACAAATTTTCATAATGAGTTAATTATCAGAATTTCATGACGGTCTGTGACTTTCAGCGACTCGGTCCTTAGAGATCTGGTTCCATCAGATGGAAACAGGGAATATTTCTGAGCAAAACTGCACCTCCCGCCCCAATCCTGTCAAGAAAATAAAATCGATTCAGCAAACTCCATTTGTTTAAAAATTTCAATAACGAAACCACTAGCGGAGAAAATAGGATACATTCAACATGTATTAAGTATGGAGAACTGTGTTAGAAGACCGGGCGGTTCAGTCAAGGTGAATAGGACACAGCACCCACCCCGCAGCTCGGGACAGGTAAATAGCTCTGGTAGAAGAGCAGGACTCGGGGCAGGTGTCCCAGCCAGAGACCTCAAATTCTGAAAGCTAGTCCATCCCTCCCGCCGCGAAAGTCACGATTTCCCCTTATCCCTAAATAATTTAGCATCAATTCCGAAGAGGAGCAACAGAAACAAAAACACAACAACGTATGCCCACTCAGCTCCCTCCCAAACACTGCAATATTTCTAAACTTTTCCCTCAGGATAATAAAGAGTACCTTCCGGTACCGATTCATCGATTCCAGAAAACTACAAGTCCCAGTAGGCTGCAAGGGCAGCTCAGAGGCTAGTCTCCCGGTTTCAGAATGCCGCCTTATGCTCCAATCCTGAGCTGGGTCTGTGAGCCGTGGCCGCGCGGCCTGCTGGGATTTGTAGTCCGCTTCAGAGTCCCTTTCCCTGTCTGCGCAGGCTCGCGCGGCCTGTGTTCGCCCTTCGGCCCTGCAAAAGCCCAGCCCAGTCTTCAATGCTCCCCACCCCCATCCCGCTCCATCCCCTCGGGGGCCAACCTCCTCCGGTCACGTGGCAAGCCTTTCATGCGGCGATTGGCCGTGGGGGTTCAGGGGCGGGGCGCGGGGGCCCTGAAAGGTTCCGTGCCCCTTATCGGGCCGCTTGTTTGGCTGCTGCCGTCACCTCATGGCGACGCGAGTAGAGGAGGCAGCGCGGGGAAGAGGCGGCGGCGCCGAGGAGGCTATTGAAACCGGACGGGGCGGACGGCGACGCAGCCCGCGGCAGAAGGTCAGTCTGGGAGGCGTCCGCGTTGTTGCCGGCAGGGGAAATGCTCGGGCTAGCTCTTTCGGGGTCCACATCTTCGCTCTCTCCGGTTACCTTTAGCCACGGGACGAACATCCGGCCCTTTTCCCTCCCGGGGGTGACGACAGTGGGAGCAGGTGGGGGGGGGGACTGGGACCGGGATGGATGGGGTGGGAGGAAGCGATGGTTGGGGTTTCGAGGCGCGTGGCAGACGCGGGGAGAGGGCAGGGGGCGCAGCCCCGTGTGAGGGGGAGGGGATGCGAGGCGGGGGCGCACCAGGTGTGACAGCCACGTGCGGCCGGCGCCGGGGAGCCCCGGGCGCCAGGTGTTCCTTCTCCCAGCCCCCGCCCTCGGCGTGTTCTCGGTGCTCCCTGTGTTCCCCGCGCTGGGCGCCGCCGTCGGGGGGCTGCCTGGGTCAGTGGCCGGTCCTGCTCTTACCGGGCAGGTGCGCAGGGCGCGCTGCGGGGTGCGCCGGGGCGGCGCGGGCGAGGCTGTTGCGCAGTAAGATAACCGCGCGGGAGCCGGGGTTGCACTGCGCCCCCCTTCCCCCGCCCCCTCTGCGCTCCCCGCCACTGCGCGGGCGGGCGAGCGCCGCGGGGCTGGGAGGACCGTTCGGCTCCCGGCCCTGGGGCTCATCTCTGGGCGCCACCGGCCTCGTTACACGTGGGGCCGGCGATGGGAAGACGATGCTGGAGGACCTGGGTCCCGCAGAGTTGGGGGCAGCATCGCGTGATAGCCGGTCTTCCCATTTTAGCCTCCCTCCTCCTTCTTGCTCTTTATTTCTCCTCCTTTTTTTTCTTTCCTTTTTTTTTTCTTTTTTTGGGGGGGGGGTGAACGGAAACTTGACCGCCTCCCCCACCCTGGCCTTTGGTCTCTGTTAATCTGGGAGGCAGGCTGGACCGTTCCCCTTGCCTTACTTGACTCATGTCAAGGAGTTTTCAGTGTCTCCCTGGATACAGGAAAATCGGGACCTCCAGAATGGGAGAATTCCACTTGTTCTGGAGTCAGTGGGTGGAGTTCGAAAAAGATTGCACAACAAATGGGGTACAGGGCTTTCAGGACCCAGGAGTGGAAATCCGCAGGGTAAGGCGCTGGAAAGGTGAAAACCCTGTCTCTTTTTCCTTACAGTGGAACATACTGAAACGTTCAACCTGTTGGACGTCCTGCTTGATCACTCGGGGCTGTTTAATATTACTTAGTTATGTGTTTGAATACTCTCAAAAATCACCCCTGTGTGAAATTACGAAATATTTTTCTAATGCGAATTTACCATCTTGAAAAAGAACAAAGGTTTGGTTTACATCTGAGCAAAGTGTCAAGAATTGGCTTTGGGGGGCCTGTTTCTAAGGTCGGGTATTTTCATGTCTTTCTGCATAAGGGTGTTACTACTTCTCAGTTACTTTTTCTCTCCCTCTCTTTGTACTGTAAAATAAAGATCCAGTACTTGAAGGAATGAAAGAGAAGCTGTGGACCGAATGTACTCTAGGGATTCAGAACTGTCACTTTGGACACTTCATTTGTTCCCTGAGAGTGGGGAGCCAATCTGTGTTTGATTTCATAGGCCTCCCAGGGGAGGACTCCGATTAAAAAGCCACTACAGTTGAGGACATAAGTTCCCTTTTATGCCACTGGGATAAGGACCAGAAGTCTGAATTAGGAACTGAGGTTTAATCAACTAGCATTTTAAATGACCAAGATAAGAGGTAACGACCCTTTGAGGCAGCACTCTGGGTTACAGCTGGATATGAATAGTCATGTGTGTCTGTACTGTCTCATTTTTGTTTACTTATCTCATGTACCTTTTTTTTTTTTTTTTTTTTGCTCATGTTTTTCTGGGCATCATTTTTCCTTTTGATTTCCACTTGACTATGACATGGAATTGCAGTACATGATTAAATATTAGTTTTTGAATTTTCGTTTAAAAAAAACTAGGTGACTGTCTTGTGTCTGCAAAAATCACTTGTTTATGACCCTTAATTTTTTTACTTTCTCTGGGTTATCAATTTGAAAAAAATATTCCTAATTATAACTTCACTTGTACTCTGTTTTCAGGAAGCACAAATGATGTTTAACTAATTGGCATGTTTTCAAAATATTGAAAGAATTAAAGGAAAAGTGGTCACTTTGGTTACATTATGGGACTTAAAGTGAAAAACAATTGCAGATGGGCTTTATTGGTTCCTAGTTATTTGAACCATCTACTTAGTCCTTCACCAGCTCAGTTAATTGTGTCATTGTTTCATAACTACATTCATTGAATAGTCTCTGGAGGTATCTCTTTTCTTCTGAAGTTAATACTCGTACATTTCTAGGGATCTCTTGAGTTGTCTAAAGTGCTGTCTGACATGATAGTCACTAGCTGCATGTGGTGGTTTAAATATTAATTGAAATTGAATAAAATTAAACATTCCATTCCTCATCCATACTAGCTACATTTCAAGTGTTTAGTAACCAGTATGGCTAGTGGCTACCGTATTAGAGCAGATCAAAAATATTTACATCATGGCATAAAATTGTGTTTGACAACATTGGTCTGAAAAGATAGGATATACGCGGTCATGTATTCCAGGCATTTTTTACCCTCTTCCGTGGGCCTCTTGTCTACGCTTGGCTCCGGAGAGTCCATTCTGCTAGTCTTCTGGCGGTTTTCTCCAGGCATTTTTTAGAACACCAAGATCATTACTTTCTAAATTTCTATATAGTATTTGTTTTAGAAGGTTGAATTTTTAAAAAATTCATACTCTTTTTGAGCAGTTTTAGGTTACAGAAAAATCGAGTATAAATTACAGAGTTCCCATACATTCCCTCACACAGCCCGTTACCCCTATTATTTACATCTTGCAGTAGTATGGTGCTTTTGTTAGAATTGATGAGTCAATTTTGATACATCGCTATTGACTAAAGTCCATAATTTGCATTGGAGTTCATTCTTCGGGTTATATGTTCAGAGAGTTTTGACAAATGTATAATGTCATGTATCTACCATTATAGTATTCTATGGAATAGTTTTCACTGCCCTGAAAATCCGCTGTTTATCCCTCCCTCTATTCCCCCCAGACTACTGGCAGCCACTGATCTTTTCACTGTCTCTGTAGTTTTGCATTTTTCCAGAATGTCTAAGGTAGGTTTTTTTTCCCCCAATACTAGATTTTTGCTTGGGAATATTAAAAATTATTTAACTACTGTTAAACTTATTTTTAGGTCAGTAAACCATTTGGAAGGATAAAGATATGTAACCAAGGCTCAAATTAGCAAAATCTTACATCTACATAGTGCCCCATAATTTTTACAGCATATTTGCACATACGTTAACTCTTTCAGCATTACTGGATGCTATGGAGAAGGCTGGGCAGCTGTCGTTGCCCTCATTTAAAGATGACAAACTACTCAGCAAGGTCTAATAATTTGCCCAAGGGATGAAGCTGAGTCTGGAACCCAATACCCTTTCATCCAGACTGTGGTAATAAGTACTGTACTACCAGGTGAATAGTATGGATTTTGGAGTCAAGACTCTTGACTCTCTGCCATTTACTAGCTGTGCAAGCTTGGGTGAGTTTCTCAATCTTTCTGAGCCTCCATTGCATCATCTGTAAAGTGATGATGATGCTAACACCTACCATATAGGATTGTTGTGAAGAGTAACAGTTGATGGAGAGTGTTCAGCACAGTCCTGGGACTGGGCATGTAGAATTTTATTTGATCTGGCAGGGAGAATATATGAAAGATCCATTCCTCTTGCTTTTAGTGTACTATTAATTTTGTAAATCCATCTTCCAACCTTTGTATTCTTCTCTCTTCCCAGAATCTCTCTGTGATAGATGAAATGAGGAAAAGTCCAGTCAGGGTATAGCAAGAGTGTGGGGTAGGAAGAAACCATTTCACTATTTTGTTTTTTCTCCCCAGTTGTGGATTTGAATTTCCACTCTTCTGGCACAGAGATTAAATAATAAGAATCGAAGTGATCTTCTATTGACAACACTGTTGTCTGTCATCAAACTTCGGTAAATTTCGTTTTCAAGGGGAACCAAAGAGGCAGCAGTAATGAGAGCAGAGCAGATATAACACATTCCTTTACTAATACCATGTTTTTAGATCTTAATATGCCACATTTGTTTACTATGTTACTGGAAGATGTTTTGTATATTATGTGTTTCATTTATATCGGTCTTGACTAGAGAATTTTTTTTCTCAATTGAAGTATAGTTGACACAATGTTACATTAGTTTCAGGTGTACAACTTAGTGATTCAGCAAGTCTGTACTTGATATTGTGTTCACCACAAGTGAAGCTACCCTCTGTCACCATACAGTGCTGTTATAATACCTTTGACTGTATTCCTTATGCTGTACCTTTCATTCCGGTGACGTATTCATTCCATAACTAGAAGCTTGTACCTCTCACTCCCCTTCACCCATTTTGTCCATCCCCCTTCCCCCCCCGCAGTCCTCAGGTCTCTGTATTTATGGATATGTTCCTGCTTTTTGTTTATTTATTTATTTTTTAGATTCCACATACAATGAAGTCATGGTATTTGTCTTTGTCTTACTTCACTTACATAATGCCCTCTAGCGCCATATAGTTGATTAGAGAAATTTTATGGAGGAATGTATATGTCAAATCTAGATGTCATGAAACAGGGTGTGTATGATTTGCTTTTGTGTGGGATTCTTCACAGAAGGATTCACTATAATAGATTTTTCAATAGATGTTCTGTTCAGATTTTAACACTTTACAGAGAGGTGTGTTTCAAAGGAAAGAAATTTGAGTCCTCACTGTTTCCTGCAGTGTGCTAGGCACTTAAAATGTGCTTCCATTCTAGTGTCTGCAGAGTAGGTGGTATCCCCAGGTATATAGATACGACATCTGAGGCTCAGTCAAAAAACAAAAAAAACTTGCTTAAATAACATAGCTCAGAGTTGGTGAAGTTGGTCCAGCGTTGATATATAATTGTGCAACTGATAGGCCCTACTGCATGGACAGTTTCT